TACTACAAAGCAGTTTTAGTTTTAAAACTCTTGTTTCTTCCTGTATAATGGTAAAGCTATCAGAATCACTTTAATATCAGGATAATATTTCGATACAAATAGCCATACTCTGATAAACATTTGACCAGATCGGATGAAAATTGAAAATGTTTTGGGAAATTAAAATGAACTTGCATTATTGTCCGGAATTTATTGTCGGGGAGTGTATATTCTAAATATTCTCAGAAACGCCAGTCCAGTCATAGTATTTTTTTAAATATTAATTTTGAGATTTTTCCATTCGGAAAATAAGCACACAGGTTCGAAAAATCTAGAAAATTTCGCACTACTTGGAAAACGGAAAGATGTTTACAATCGTAGTGTCGTGGTCGTGATGGTGTTTTTGTTTTTGTCTATTTTGTATATCGCCGCCCACACTAAATATGCAATTAGAATTTTAATGTGAAATTTAGTCTTCTTTCTACATCACATCTCTCTGAAACATATCACTCGAAAACATTGTCGCTTATGAAATAATAACATATTTTCACTCCTACGTTCATGACATTTCCAGAATTTCGATATTGTGGAATTATGATAGAAGTGCTTGTAGGATTGCAGAAGCTCTGCGGTATTTTTGCTATCAGTCTGCTGACATTAAATGAATTGTAATCAAAGGGATGAAATCGAAAAAATCTGCTGGGCTTATTTGGTCCGCTAGCAAAAGATATTGAAGCAATCACAATGTTCCCCCGAATTCCAAAAGGTTCTCTCGTAATGGGAAATGTAATACATACCTATTCCTAATTCTACAATCCCAACAATCTCCAAGCAACTATTGGTCAACTGCTCTGTCACTTACTGTTCTCAAAGTGATGGTCTAGAGAAGCTTCATGAATGTTGGACAATACGGCTTTCGCCATCGGAGTTCAACTTGGCTACTGTGCGCATATGTTACCGATTTTAGGATAAATGATAAATTAGTTTTTCTTAGGCTAAATCAGTATATCGGAAGAGCGATAGGATGAACTAGTTTCCTAGTCTAAACTACTTCGTACTACTTTGTGAATATTTTGTGAGGAAGGAACCACCTCTATGAGTAGATTATTCGGAAACAAGTCAAGCTGATTGATGAAAAATTCAATGACTACAAGTCAAGCTGATTGATGAAAAATTCAATGACTACAAATCAAGCTGTGGAAACCATTCGACCGTGTTTGGCTCCAAGGACTTGTCCAAAAACTACAGTCTTACTTATTTTTGACGTGTTTGGGCTAGTCCAGGGATGGGAAAATAGATTGTGAGTTGGGCCGTATGAAATAACGCAACACTTTGGCGGGCCGAATATAATTTATTACAATTAACAATTTGACTATTGTTTGGAAGTAGAAGGCTGGTGTGACAAATGAAATTTTGATTGTGTATTAATCATGTCATCGAAATTTGGCTCCATTTCACTCGAACTGATCCGCAAAACGCATTTAAGATTTTTTGTAGACTCAGTACGAGTTATGAACGAAATTCAAATCGTGAAATTTTTTATTCATCCGCAATTCTATGAATTTCTAAGAAGCTGTCTGCTGGCTACCTGTCAATCCTAGCCTTTCATCATTATCAAGCTATACAATCTTGGGGATTCCCGAATTCGATACTATTGATGTGATTCTTAACCTTCATAATATTGTGCCAATCTAGTTATTTTTCGCACGATATAATTTTTAATCTCTATAATATTAAGTGCCTTACATTGATTTCATAGTAGATACATGAAATAAATCAGCTAATATATCTACACTTCGTGAGATTGCACTGTCTGTTCACTGCTACTACGATTCTAGTGTTTCTTGTGGATTACTGTTTAATATTCTCATAAACATTTTTCAAAGTAGTTTATTAGTATCGGTATGATTTAGACGTGGAGACCTAGGTATTGATTGATTGAGAGGAAACTATTACACTCAAATTCAATTTATGTACTTCTTATTCTATCAATTAAGTGATCAAGAACATGTGATAGTATTAGACTCGAGCACACTCAAGATCATTTTCTTAGTAAGCAATGTAAGCATATCATGTTGTTCACCTATTCAGTAAGTTCAGTGTTTGGGTAGAAATATTCAAAATTCAAGATTTAATTTCATATAAAGAGAATGTGTTTATACAAAAGTACAATGAACAAAACAAATTTACAAAATTACATGAAGTAAACTAAGAAAAAATAAAAATCCTTGAGTAATCATCAATATCTTCTTCACTTCAGTGGAAGACTGCCTTTTTTTTGTTAGTCATTTTCAAGAATGTCAGGAAATATTGGAAGTAACGGGATGGTTTGTTCAGGAGAAAGTGCAAAAGGAGCAGTTTCAGGAATCTGAAATACAATAAGAACGATTTGATAATTCATATTTAAAAATATTCAGAATTGAGCATGATATGATATACAACCTAGGAAGATAACAGAAATATATGTTCATTATGAATAACGTTTTTTAACTCAAGGAAGATGACATTCACTTCCAAGGACCCATATTTATTTATCTATTCATAGTGAACATTTATAATAGTAATAATAGTTATTTATTATACAAGCGAAAAAGTTGTAGATTTCAGCTCTAGGTTCTGTTGTCTTGGAATTCAAAATGACATTGCAAAATAATACAATCGCATTCACAAATCCTCACACAAATCAATCAACAAGGTATAGAACAACCATTACTAGAAGAAATAGTTAGGCATTATTATGATTTTTAAGGATTCCGATTCAAAATGGAGAAGTTTCCTCCAAATGAATTTTCATAAAATAAGTTCGGAAAGTGTTGAAAAGGAATATTCTCAGATAAATTATGAACATAAAAAAATGGATATATATTTATTAAAGCAATACATTGAGAATTCGCATTCTCTATGTGATGAGAATATCAACTCTTTTTCAGTTCATTCAAAAGAAAACAACTACTTTCCTGGCTATATGCCACGCGGAACATTGAATTATATATATTGAACACACACGATAAGAGTTTGGAAAATAAAATATAAAATCTTCTGATATTGAGAACTTGCATTATCCTTCAGACAAAAATATGTATATGCACACATCATTCTGAATATTCAACAGGAAACAACTACTTTCCTGGCTATTTGCCACGTCGAACATTGAATTATATCTATAACATAATTCCTTTCCACGCCCTGTATTATGAATGTCAATTTATCATACATTCAAAAGTAAGTTAGGAACTTCATTTTTCATGTTCTCTTTTTGGATGTTCAACAGATATAATTCAATGTTCGTCGTGACAAATATCCAGGAAAGTAGTTGTTTCCTGTTGAATATTATGTGCATATACATATATTTATATGAAGGAGAATGCAAATTCTCTACTTCAGAAGATTTTGGTTTAAAATTCTCATCGTGTGTGTTCAATAAATATAATTCAATGTTTGTCGTGGCATGTAGCCAGGAAAGTAGTTGCTTTCTGTTGAATAAACCTAGAAAGAATTGATATTTTCATCACATAGAGAATGCGAATTCTCAATGTATTTCTTTATATATATACAGGGTGTCTGTAAAAGGTTGGTTCGGTTGTGGACTCCTGGGATAAAAACAAGTTGATTTAGGCCAACTTACCTATGTACAAAATCATCTCGTTGAGTTGGTACGAGACGTTGACGTTTTTTTGGAAAAAAATAATTTTGCTCATAAAAAGAGTAGGCTGAGATCGATTTTCATAATTTTTGGCATGGCATGTTCTGTGACTGTAAGTCACGTTATGAGATGTTTTTCATCATCATCAGTGACCTGCAAGTGTTTCAAACAATCATGTTGACGTACAAATTTAGTGAAAACTTTTCAGAGGTCGGACTGAAAACTTCCAGTTTTTTTTCCAGAAAGATATTTCCTTCAGAAATATTTTTTGTATCGTGGTAATTTTTGATAAGTCTCGAGGTTCATATATGCAAATAAATAATCTCTGATCTGAGGCATCTTATGCATTATTTAGAAAAATATTCTGGTTGGGACATGGCTTGACTGTACACTCCTGGGACAAAAATAAGTTGATTCAGCCAATTTACCTATATCCAAAATCGTTTCGTTGAGTTGGTACAAGGCGTTAAAGTGCTCACTTTAGGTATTGAATAGTTATCGCTAAATTTGTAACGCGAGAGTTGTAAAGCCCACGAGGACCAGCAACATATCAGTTTGTTTACAATAAGAATACATTGTAGCCATGATCAATAAACAGTCCGACTAATTAGATTGATTTTCAAAGATGCACAAGTTGCATCATATCAGAAATTATTTATTTGCAAATGAACCTCGAGACTCATCAAAAATTATTCCTGAAGGGAATATCTTTCTGAAAAAAAAAACTGGAAGTTTCCAGTCTGACCTCTGAGAATATATCACCAAATTTGTACGGCAACATGGTTGTTTGAAACACTTGCAGGTCACTGATGATGATCAAAAACATCTCAAAACGTGACTTATAGTCACAGAACATGCCATGCCAAAAATTATGAAAATCGATATCAGCAGATCTGAGCAAAATTATTTTTTTCCAAAAAAAATTCAACGCCTCGTACCAACTCAACGGGACGATTTCGGATATAGGTGAGTTGGCCTAAATCAACTTGTTTTTATCCCAGAAGCCCATAGCCGAGCCATGTCCCAACCTTTTACAGACACCCTGATCAATTTATTTTATATTCATAATTATATCTGAGAATATTCCTTTTTAAGTTTTTCATGTCTCTAAAAGCGAAAAACAATTAAAGGGATTCCAATTTAAGAGGTGCACCCTGTATAAAAACCCTATTAGTACAGTATAATGATCATTTGGCACTAGGAATTGTTTTAGAATGTGAGTAGTAATAATTCACAAATAATAATAAACGATAAGACAAAGATAAATGAGTTATCTTAACGAGGCGTATTACCTGACAAGGTTGATGAGAATGTTGATTAGTTTCTCTACATTCAGTAAACATTACTTGAAATGGTGAAAATAATGCAATTTTCTGTCAGACTCAAAAACTCGAGTGACCTTCGATATCAGATGCATTATTGTTAATCCTTCGTTTTCATGGATTTGGAAGTACATCAGTTCCTCTCCAACTAAAATTACCTATGGGTGAGCGAAATATTGATAATCTCCATGGAGAGGACTTTAACCTCCTCTCATTCGTTGAATTGTTGCCGCTAAAATTCGTTTTTCTGCAACCGACACAAAAGTCGTCCATTTTGATACCAAAATTAGCTCTTAAATTGACGTTTCTATTACTGACACAAAAATAGGTATGTTGCTAGGCAACATATTTAGTTCCTAGGAGCTAAAGTTGAATTTTAGTTCCTTGGAGCTAAAGTTGAACTTTAGCTCCTAGGAACTAAAAAGGATCTACTGGACGTCATCAAGAATAAACAACATTGTGACGGTTGGTTATTTGGGTTGAGTGGCATACCTGATTTGTTTCCGATTTCAGCAGATTTGGCATTTCATACCCATGCTGGAGATATAAATACACCTTATTATAGTTTAGTATTGGAATTATAAACATCTCAGTTGAGTATTTTTGTTTTGATCAGGGAAGCCTTCAAGATTCAAATACTTGCTTGATATTATACTCGGGATGGATAACTTGTTTTTGGATAATCCCGGCAAGCAATAGTTTTTTTTCTCAAACAACGATATTGTTAACCTTCATTTGATTATCAAGCGACAAACATTGTATTACGGAGAGGAAAAAATAATTGCTATTCTTATTGTTGAGATTGTTGATGTGCTCACTAACCTAACATTTTCCAAGTCTTGTTTCTATAACTGGAACTGACGCGGTATTTGCCATTAGAGCACCTGGTCCATACACAAATATGTCACTCTGTGATTGTATTTATATTGAAACTACAATTCGAACATCCTTGAAAATTGAATGAACCTGCTGTTGATGCAGGTAGAATGTTCTCACCACACGGATTATTTTTCAATATTTGTTGCATTGCATACATATGGCATGGTATTGGTGGTAGCTTCACATATTCATTTGAGTTATTTGTTTCGGTTGCAGAAAAAATAGCATGTTTCATTCGGATCAAAAGTGACTTTGTTCGACTCGCAAATTTTGCTTTCGCTCGGCTTCGCTAAACGCTACGCCTCGCAAATGCAAAATTCGCTTGTCAAACAAAGTGTCACTTTTGATCCTAATAAAACAATCTACTATTTTATGGATTTGGAAGTACACCAGTTCCTCTTACTGGAATTTATGGGTGAGCGAAATATTGATAACCTCCATGAAGAGGTGAAGTTGGTAATCGTGGGATACAACGAACTAACCTTATTATACAGGTTAGTTTTTCTGTGTCCTGTATCATAAGGCTAGTTCGTTGTATCAACGTTAACTTCCTTTCTCAAAATTTAGCGGTAAATCGCCATATCTTAACGTTCCCCCTCTCGCTTGACGATCGTTCTTTCTTTTTTTTGTTACAAAAAATCACGAAAAGCTGAGTATCTCGTGTAATTTCATAACATTGATTTGGAGGACCATTTCATTCATGAATGTGCACACTTTAACAGTAATATTCCTTCTAATAAGACGGTAAAAAAACCTTATCCCTATTGGGTCTTTTCACGCTATGCTCGCGGCTATGAACTATCAGCCGCCGCAGTCAATCTACTGGTTTGCAGCCTAGTAAAACGATGGTATTTTGAATTGACTCGGCCGTTACTTGATGGAAATCCATGACAAATGTAAAAACTTCTCAAACGATATAGTCCAATAAATAAAGGGAAAAAGTTTACATTAATTACGCACTATTTCCATCTTCCGGTTGGAAGTAGCTTTTGGTACCTCATTAAACATGAGACAAAGTTTGACTGGAAAACGCGTGCGATGGCGGAGAAAATGGCCCCATAAGACCCGAAAAATAGGTTTTCAGCCAATATCTCCTAAAATATGGCAGTTAGAGATTTTCGGTTCAGATAAAAATTGAAGTTCAGTTAATTTTCTACAAATATGGTTCCTATCATTTTCCTCGAAAATTTGCCCGGTTTCGAGAAAAACGGCACGAAGCGCACCTCGAATAATGAGCTTCTGTGTTGTATGCCGGAGAGCACAGTCCATGTAATTACACATCGGCGGGGGGACAAATTATTCAATAACTTTGTTAAAAATGCAAACTTTGTCTCATGTTTAATGAGGTACCAAAAGCTACTTCCAACCGGAAGATGAAAATAGTGCGTAATTAATGTTAACTTTGCCTTTTTTTCCTCCTTCATTTATTGGACTAATAAGATTTCCACAAAATTCTCAAACACACGACATGTTCCGCTAACACAGTAGCTTCGTCAGGTGATATACGGGTACAATGAACTTTTCATTGTTCATTGTACCAGTATATCACCTGACGAAGCTACTGTGTTAGCGAAACATGCCGTGTGTTTGAGAATTTTGCGGAAATCTTATCGTTTGTGAAGTTTTTAGAAACGATAGTATATTACGTATTATGTGTTGTAGGGAGCATATTACGTAATTATACATGAGTGCGTAATTGCATTACGTACTATACTTTACCTACTGCCATATAGTACATCAAAAAAGTTTGGACAAACAGTCTGAATTATAATTCTCGACAGTTATGTCATTCGCTGTTGATGGCGATTACGCGATCATGACCTATACTGGCGGAATAAACGAAAACTGTGCGATGTGCTTACTGTGCGTAAAGAGCTACTTACTGAGGCTGTATCTCGTGTGTTCTTGCCTACTTTCTATAGTGGCCGTAGGTAAATAACTATTTTCTACAAGCGTGCGTGATTCACCCTATACCCGCACGCAATTTAGTTTGGGAAGTGTCAGTTTCCCGCAGTAGTGCGGAAAAAGTTATCTCACACTAGTGCGAGAAGAACATTTATATAATATTCTCGCAAAATATGAGTGGTGGGTGAGTGACACAATATGAAAATTTTAGGTTTTTTGTTGTAGTATTTAGTGAGTTTGTACTAAATTATCCATCAAATTGCACTATTTATTGTGATGATGAAGAACACCATGGGCATGATGGCTTCCCCAATAAGCTTACCTACATAATGCTTCAAACGGTACACACAATAGATATATATCACTAATTATAAGAAGATGAAAAATATATCACTATTTTTAGTTGTTTCTATTTGCAGGAATAATTGACTGAACAAATCAATCAATTTCCTATGCTTGTCGAAAAAATATTGTTACTAACTAATGCGGAAAGTGTCTGTTCCGCACTCGACTGCTTGCCCGAACTCCGCTACGCGTCGTTCGGGTCAACGGCATTCGCGTGCGGGAAAGTGTCACTTTCCGCACTTGTTAGGAAATAGTAATTTTCCTAACAAGCGCGGAAAGTGATTCTTTCCCGCACGTGACTGCCGTTGACACGAACGACGCGAAGCGGAGTTCTGGCAAGCAGTCGAGTGCGGGAAAGAAACTTTCCGCATGAGTTAGGAACAATATTTTTACTACAAGCGTAGAAAATTGATTGAATCGTTCAATTAATTATTCAAGCAAATAGGAACAACTAACAAGAGATATATATTCTCTATCTTTTAATTATTAGTAATATCTATTGTGAACTTACAGTTTGACGCATTATGTTGGTTCATTGCGGAAGCCAGCAGGCCTATTAGGAGTTTGGTCTCTAGGTTCCAGACACTTCTATGAAATGAGCCAAAAATACCTATTCTTCATTCGGTTTTTTATTTTTTTATTGTTGCACCATTCAATAAAACGCGTGTATAGCTTCTCATACCTTTATTAATACTTCGTTGGTGATAACGCATCTGTATCAAATCCCTATAGCTAGAAGTTTTTGATCACATTGTGGCATTTCCACTGAATCGAAAATGACAGTAACGCTGTGTCTGTCACTTCGACAATTTCAAACTTATTTGAGGTTTGATTGGCATGACAAATTGACGTTTCCCGTCAGATCAATCCAAATCTATAGGGGGATTTTTATAATAATCAATTTTTATTTCTCAATATTTCTTAATTTTTACAATAAATAGTGCAATTTGATGGATGATTATGAACATACATACTTAATACTGCAACAAACAAACTTAAACTTTTATATTCCATCACCAACCACTTACATTACTAGCGATTTTATCATATCTTTGTTTTCCCGCACTGTTGCGGGAAAATGACACTTCCCAAACTAAATTGCGTGCGGGTATAGGGTGAATCACGCACGCTTGTAGAAAAATTACTTTTACATATATAATACTATTTTGCTAGATCAATATGGAAATCGGAGATCTACTGAAAATTCAGTAGAACTGGCAACACTGCAGCGGACGAAAAGTGTTTGCGGATGAAAAGTCAGTGTCTGCGGACGAAAAGTACTTGCTCTCCGGAAATAGTCGGTTTTTCGTTCGGAAATTAGAACATAAAATTTTGATTTTTTGTAGAGGTCGACAAAAAGACATATTTGTGTCTCATGTTTCTTATTCAGCTGTTTAACAAGCTGACAAGTGTGTCCACACTCTTTAAAGAGCGTAAAATGAGATGTTCTATGTACTTTAGTATGAGCAATACATGGATGGTTCTGCATGAAGTTGTGTTAGCTATGTACTCGATATACTTTTAATAGCAGTTGCAGAAAAATTAATTTTCCAGAAAGGCGAATGACGATTTCTGAATCTCCAAAAACCATTCTGAGACAAAACATCGTGTGAAATGTTTTCAACTTCAGAAAATGTTTGCCCCAACGAAGTCGTTTGAAAATCTTGAAATATCCTTTTGAATGTTGACCAGTTTATATGCTGATGCATAATGTTATCTTATAAATTATACAATTAATAATTGTTAGTGCACCTCATCCATCGTCCAGTCCTGATTTATGCATGTTCTCCAGCGACGAAATCAAGTTTGCAGTGTCCCCAATAAACACATTCTGGAATCTGGATTCTAAATTTTCCACTAACCGTCTCAGATTAATCGGCCCCAGGGGGCCATTAATACTGTGCCGATGACGAGTGGACACGTGAATAATATCTTTCGCTAAGGTTCACGTAGTTTAGTGGCACAGTTTATATTATTTCCAACAATCTTCTCGACATCTGTGTCTGGTTTTCTCTCGATTTTCTGACCAGACACG